ATCAACAACAGTTGGTCCATCTCTTTCACGCATAACGCACGCACACACAGACACACACAGACACACATACAGGCACACACACAAGCACGTACAAAAACTTTCACACACTCAAACTCAGACAAATTCAAAAATAACATGCACACACAAAATGCACAATTACACCTACATACAGACTCACAAATGTACAATCACACACACACGCGCGCGCGAACACACACACACACACATATATGAAATCAGGTGTTTGTTGTGGTTAAAATGATGTATGTATGTATGCGTGTGTGTATGTTTGTCAAATGCATGGTCATAAAATACAAATACCAAATAATGTTCATAACAAGATCAAAACAAAGAAAGAATATTAATAATAACCACAACAACAACAACAACAATAATAATAATAATAATAATAATAAAAAATAATATTTATAAATAAAAAAAAAACACAAACAGACACGAACCAGTATGTATGTAGGTGTGTTTCTTCATGTCAGACTTCTGGTGGAACCTCTTCCCACAGTACTGACAGGGGTAGGGTCGGGTGTCGCTGTGGATGAGCATGTGGGTGGAGAGGGTGGAGGACCTCTTGAATGATTTTTCACACTGGGGGCACTTGTAAGTGCGTTCGTGGTTGTGCACCGTCACTTGGTGCTGCGTCAGACTCGACTGGTGGCCGAACGTCTTGTCGCAGGAGAAGCACTCGAACGGGCGTCTGCCGCCGATGTGGCTACGTCGCACGTGCACCTGTTGTGGAGGAAAATTTGAAATTTGATCATAGGTAAACTGTTGGTTGCTCTTTCGAAAACAATTTTTCATACAGTTATAAAAACAACAAAAATTTTAAAATTAATTTCTAGGTGTTAAATTGTGTCTGGAATATAAAGACAGCACAAAAAATTATAAAAATGTGAGAAAAAAATAATTTGGAATATGAACCAACCTCTAAGCCGTGAGCAGTTTGAAAATACTTCTTGCAAACGGAACACCGATAATCGGACGTGTTGACTGCTTCCTCTCTGCTGAGGCAGCATTCGACATTCGGAATGGGATTGCTGACCGGATTGTTGGGATCGCTATGCATCGGAGTGTGCTTGGGAAATGGAGGAATGATGTTTTGACTGGCTGGAAAATTTCTGCGCCAATCAAAAAGCTTGTTGTTGAAGTATTGTTGTTGTTGTTGTTGCTGTTTGTCGTGGATGTTGCAGTAAAAGTTGTTGCTGTTGCTTGGTGTCTTGTTGAAATTGTTGAAAAAGTTGAAGTTGTGAAAGAGGTAGCCAGCGGCCCGGTTGTTTGCGAGTGAGTTGATGTAGTTGATTTTGTTGCTGACGATGTTGTTGTATGTGATGTTTTGTTGCTGGTTGGGTGGTAAATTTTGCTGCTGAGACTGTTGTGGTGGTGATGCTGGTGATGTTGGTGCTGGTGCAAACTTTTGCTCGTCCTCTTTGAGACTGTTTTCAATGTCAGTGGCTGGACTCCAGATCGCTTTCTTGTTGCTGATGCTACTTTTCTCGACTGCTTCAACTGGTTGTTTTTGTGGTTGCATCTCATGCTTCTGTTGTTGTTGTTGCTGTTGTTGTTGTTGTTGCTGCTGTTCTTTTTGCATTGTCTTGTATTTCATCAGATGTTGGTGAATTTCATTTTGATGGAAAAACATCTTTTGTTGTTTTGCTGCTGCCGAAAGAGTTGCAAGGTAGAATAAGTAGTTGTAGTATCTATTGTTGTTATTGTTGTTGTAGTTGTTGTAGTTTTGTCTGATGTCCCCACAACCAGCCTCTGGTGAGTATTTGATTCGTTTTGTCTCGGGTTGTTGGTTCAGTTTATCTGTCGAAAAAAAACAAATTAAAAAAAATTTACCACCAATTTTTAATTAATTTAAAAAAAATTTATATATATGTGTATATGTGTGTGTATGTGTTTGTAGGAGTATGTGTGTTGTCTTTGTGTATGTGTTAAAAATTCCCATCAGCTACATGTGCGTATTCCTTGTTTGTGGCGGAACGTGTCAACAGATTTTTTCACACGCAACTAGAAGAGCGTGTGTGTGTGTGTGTGTGTGTGTGTTCGCGTGTGTGTATATGTGTGTGTATGTGTTTGTAGGAGTATGTGTGTTGTCTTTGTGTATGTGTTAAAAATTCCCATCAGCTACATCAATCAAATTGGTATAAAAGTGTTTAGTAAGTGTAGATTGTAAGCAGCATTACTTTTATAGAAAGCAATTACATTATTGGCACTCTTACATTCCCCAAAAAAAATATAACCAAAAAAAAAAAAATATAACCAAAAAAAAAAAATTCAAAGTGATTGCACTCAAGTAACCTGAAAAGTCGTTATCTTCATTACATTTATTGTCTTTGGCGCTAAAGTCATCGGCGGAAATGACGTAACTCTTGATGGCTTTGTTTGGAGTGCTGCTTGGAAGAGGCATTTGTTGACATTTAAAAAAGTTGTTGTTGTTGTTGCTGCTGCTGCTGTTGTTGTTGTTGATGTTGTTTTTGTTGTTGCTGTGGTTGTAGAAACTGTTGATGTTGTTGAAGTTGTTGTTGCCATCATCGTAATTCAACTTGTTGAATGAAAGCTTCTGGTAAATTCCTGTGAATTACAAGATATATTTATTGAGATAATTCACACAAAATCCGAATAAAATCCGAATAAATAACTAAAAAAATAAAAATAAATTGAATGTTTTTTTCAAAAATTGACAGAAAAAATCATTAAAACCACTAATTCGGGAGATTTCAGCATGCATTTAAAGGAATGTGCGTGTGTGAAGCATTTAAAAATTACTGATGGCTGTGTAGTGGTTGGTGAGTTTTAATTGCTACGTTCAAATGGTGTCAAAACACAGACTGATATCTACCCCCATCTAATCACATTCGTATAATTATAAATGTCATTCCGTTTGTGTGTGTGTGTGTGTGTGTGGTTTTGTCTATGTCTGTATGTTTGTGTGTTAATGTGTTTGTGTGTTAATGTGTTTGTATAATCGCATGCGTCCGTCTTTGTATGTGGGAATGAACTTTGTAAGTGTGTTTTTAGAAGTCTGCTTCTATTTATGTGTTAGTGTATGTGTGTATGCTTCTGGGTATGTGTGTCTGTATTTGTTTGTGTGTGTATTTGTGTGTGTGTGTGTGTTTACAAAATATAATTAAAATTTATTTGAAATCATATTAATATTTAGACTACAAACAAGTAGCTACAAAATAGTTGAGAGAATGATTTGAAGCGATCTATCTAGCTGTTAATGTACAATTGCGAGGATCACTTTGACGTTTTTAAGTGCAGAAACAAACCGAGGGAGGAGTAACTAATTAATTAATTAATTAATTAATAACTGTTCGTCATGTGTTTACGAACGCACGCACACATACACACACACACACACACACACACACACGTGCACACACACGTATACACAGAGACAAAAAGATTGAGAGAAAGGAAGAAAAGGAGAGAATGAGAGAGAGAGAGAGAGAGAAAGAGAGAGAGTCGTAAAGAGTCGTTGAAGCAAACAACATACAAACGCACAAAGAAACACACACAAATAGACAAACATACATACTTATATACACAACAATCATACATTT